AGTGCTGGAAGCAGGCTGGAAGCAGGCTGGAAGCCGGCTGGAGAGATGGCTGGGAGACAGAGATGGCTCTGACCCCCCCCCCGAAGGGGGGCGGGCTGGGATGCCCTGGGACCCCAAGCTGGACCTAACTGAGGGGGGCCCTGTTGTCTGTGCCTGCAAGACCTGTCTTGGACTGTGTTCCTGTCATCCAAATAAACCTTCTGCTTTACTGGCTGGCTGAGAGTCATGGTGAATCGCAGGAAGCCGGGGGTGCAGGGCCCTGAGTCCCCCAATACTCCGTGACAGGGGTCTAATGATTAGAGCGTGTTTGGTGGGGGTGGGGGCGCTGGGAGCCAGGACTCCTGGGTCCCATGGAGGGTCATGTCGCTGGCTCCCCGTGTCTGCAGGCCCTGGAAGCCCGCTCCACCCCCGGACACACGGACGGCTGCCTGACCTACGTGCTCAGTGACAGGACCATGGCCTTCACCGGGGACGCCCTGCTGATCCGGGGCTGCGGCTGCACCGACTTCCAGCAGGGTGAGGGCGAGCTGGGGTGGGATGGGATGGGGGGGTATGTGTTACCGGGGGGAGGGGTAGTGAATGGTTACCGTGGAGACGAGATATGGGATATGATGGTGGCTGCCATGGCGATGGGGGACCTCTCCAAGTCATGCCCAGCAGTTGCCACAGCGATGAGGAACATGGCTGCTGGTTGCCAAGGCGATGGCAGGGTGTGTCTCTGGGGCTCAGCCAGTGGGTGCTGTGGGGATGGTGGGGGTGCCCTGCCAGGGGGTTCGGCCAGAGGGCGTTGGGGGTGCTGTGCTGGAGGTATGGCAAGAGGGAGCTGGGGTTCCCATGGGGCACTGGGGGGGATGTCGGGGGTGCCATGCCAGGGGGTTCGGCCAGAGGGCGTTGGGGGTGCTGTGCTGGGGGGTATGGCAAGAGGGAGCTGGGGTTCCCATGGGGCACTGGGGGGGATGTCGGGGGTGCCATGCCAGGGGATTGGCTGTGTTTCCCACCCCGTGGTAACCAGGCCCCACTTCTCTCTGCCCCCCAGGCTCCCCGGAGACCCTGTACCGCTCCGTGCACGAGAAAATCTTCACGCTCCCTGGAGACTGTCTGATCTACCCCGCCCACGACTACACGGGTGAGTCCGAGCGTGGCGCTAGGGGGCGCTGTGCCGCGGGGGGCGGGGGGAGCTCTCCTGGGCAGGACGGGTGCAAGGATGTTTCGCGCCCTAGGCAAAACTTCCACCTTGCGCCCTCCCCCCTCCCCGAGCCCTCTGGCAGCTCCCTGCCCCCCCCCTGCCCTGAGGTGCCCCCCCGTGGGAGCTTCCCACCCCCCTCCACCCTGAGGCGCCCCCCCCCGTGGGAGCTTCCCACCCCCCTCTGCCCTGAGGCGCCCCCCCCTGTGGCAGCTCCCCCCCCGGGGAGCCGTGGGGCAACTCCCCACCCCAGGTCACCTCTGCTCCGTCCTCTCCCCGAGCCCTGCGTCAGCTCCCCACACCCCACTCCGCCCTGAGACGCCCCCCCGTGGCTGCTCCCTCCCCCCCGGGAGCCGTGCGGCAGCTCCCCACCTCCTCCCCGAACAGGCCGCCCTCGCTCTAATTCTCCTCCCCTCCCAGGCTCGCGGCGCCAATCAGCTGTTTGGCACCGCAAGCCTGGGAGGGAGAGAAGCAGAGCGGGCGGCGTGCTCAGGGGAGGACGCGGAGCAGAGGTGACCTGGGGCGGGGAGTTCCCCTGCGTGCCGCCCCCCCTTACTTGCTGCAGGCGGCCCTCCCCACATCCCCCTGCCCCAGCTCCCTCCGCCTAAATGCCACCCCCCAAATGCTAGCGCCTTAGGCAACCGTCTAGGTCGCCTAATGGGTTGCACCGGCCCTGCTCCTGGGGCAGTCAGGGCTGGCCCCGATGCCCCAGCCCGGCACTAGGGGGCGCTGTGCTCCAGAGAGCCCCCCCCCCCCCACTGGTGCTGTATCTCACCCGCCCCCTGGCGCCCCCTGCAGGCCAGACGGTGTCGACAGTGGAGGAAGAGAGGACCCTGAACCCCCGACTGACCCTGAGCTGTGAGGCCTTTGTCCAGCTGATGAACAACTTGAACCTGCCTCAACCCAAGAAAATTGGTGAGGCTGGGAGCCCGGATGCCTGGGTTCTCTCCCAGGGCTGGGAGGGAGGAGGGTTGGTGGGTTAGAGCAGGGGAGCCAGGAGTCCTGGGTTCTTTCCCTGGGCAAGGAGAGTTGGTAGGTTAGAGCAGCGGGGGACAGTGAGCCAGGACGCCTGGGTTCTCTCGCCAGCTCTGGGAGGGGAGTGGGGTCTGGTGGGTTACAGCGGAGGGGGGGGGGGCTGGGAGCCAGGACACCTGGGTTCTCTCCTGGGCTGGAAGGGAGGAGAGTTGGTGTGTTAGAGCAGTGGGGGGCTGGGAGCCAGGACTCCTGGGTTCTGTTCCCAGCTGTGGGCCATGGAAGGTGTAGACGAAGCCAGGACCCCTATCACTCTGTCTAACACTTGTCTCTTCTTCTGTCCTTTGCAGATATCGCTGTCCCGGCAAACCTGAAGTGCGGGATCCAGGATGTGGAAACTTAGCCCCACCCTCTTTACTTCAAGGCCACACCCCTCACAACAAGCCCCTCCCACCTCCACATAGGCCATGGCCTCTCATTGACCCTTACTAGGATGGAAGGTCCTTTGGCCTGGGGGCTGGGGGGGCGGGGCTGTCCCTGACTCTCACTCCAGTCCCCACCTTTAAGGGAAAGCTGGGACCTTGGTGGGACTGTGCATCCATTAATGGGAGCGGTTAATGATCATCGACCGTTGCAGGTTCCCTTCCCCCCCCGCCAGTCCCCCCATTCCTCTGACACCCCCAGTCTGGCATTAGGGAGTCTGCACCTTCCTCTGCATTGGCTGTCATATGGGGGTGTCCTGCTGGCCTCCCCTGGGAAGCAAAGACACCCCCCTCTTCTCTGAGCTTGGAGTGCGGATAGCAGGGGACCCCAGCCTGCGCTGAGGTCCGAGAGAGACCCTCAACCCCCCATGCCCTGTGTCTGAATAGTGGGGTGCCCTGCGGGAACCCCACTTGGTTCGGTTAGGTCCCTCCCTCACCCTGCAGCTGAATGGGGGGGAACCCCCACTCCCAGGGGCTCTGGGTTAGTGCTGTTTGCACTAGCTGGACTTTCCCCATCTCTGCCCCCTGGGTCTCCGGCGAGCCTGGCTCTGGACTCCCCGCTCCGTCGGGGGCCAGGGGAGGGGAAGGGGGGCCTGTCGGGGAGCGGGGCTGAACCTCAGCGGGGTTTGGAAACGAGCAGCTGCTGCCACCGCCAAGAAAATAAAATTCTGTTGGACCCATTTGGACTTGATTTCGCTTCGCAAGGCAGGAGGCCGGGGTAGAGGGGCCCGGGCGGCGCGGGCAGGGCGGGAGGCCGGGGTAGAGGGGCCTGGGGCTGAGGTTGCAGGGCAGGACCCCCGGCTGGCTGGGGCCATGTGGCCAGCCTCTTACTGTAGTTTCCCACCAGAGGGCGCTGCTCCCTCACTCTTTCCCCAGCCTATTCTCCGGCTTTGCAGCTGGGGGGTCGTGGGCGCTCTCCTCCCCCACGCCCGCAGGCCCCCTCGACTCCCCCCTAGGAACAGCCGCAGGCTTGGCCCAAAGAACGGTGAGAGGGAAGGAAAATCGGCTTCCATCCCTCCCCGCACCCCACAGAGCCAAACTTTTCCCCCATCCTTCCTACTAGTTCTTCCCTCTTCCCTTCCCTCCTCTCCACAGCCACAACATCCCGCTTCAAAAAGGGAACCCCCCACCCCTCGGTCTGTCCCCACCCACCCTGACCACCGCAAACAGGCCCAGCCAGCCGGACACCACCCCAGAGCCAGGCGCAATGCTGGCGGGGCTCCGTCCCAGCTGGAGTGGGAAAGGTCTTTCTGCCTGGTGAACTCCATGGGGCTGGGATAGAGCCAGCCCCAGACACCCCCTCCAATAAGGGGTGCTGCCCCTTTAAGGCTACAGCCCTGGCAGAAAGGAATTGTGGGTGATGTAGTCCCCAGGGTTGTAGGCTGGGCAGTGAGGCATGCTGGGAAGGGGGCAGGGCTATAAAAGGGCTCCTTTTGCTGTTACCTAGCAAGAGGAGGGGTTGTGCAGAGATTGAGGGAGTTTTCTGGGGCTCCCTGCCTTGCTCTGTGGGGTTCCTCAGGCAGCCAGGGGCTGAGAGGGCAGCACTAGTGACCCCAATGGCTCTGGCTTGGGGTGGGGAGACAGCTGATTGCAGGACTCTCTGCTGGTGCTTTCAGCCCAGGATCTCAAAGCAATTAATGGGGGTTAATTAGTTGAGCCTCATAAACTCTTTTGCCCTGGGGAGTGGAGTCAGGATCCTCATTCCTGTTACACAGTGAGGGAAACTGAGGCATGGAGGTGGGACATCTGGGCAGGACAGCTGCCACCATCCCCCACTGCTCGAACCCACTAGACCCCACTCCCCTCCCAGAGCCAGGGAGAGAACCCAGAAGTCCTGTCTCCCAGCCTGCTACTGGCCTATGCTGACTGTTCCCACGTGAACGCTGGAATCCCACAGGCCAATGGTGGATTTGAACAAGCCCCTGGGGTCCCCGCTCGTGGGCCTGTCAGCTAGGGAAGGGGTAGGGGGAAGACAGAGGTCTGGGGCCAATTAACCCTTCAATGGCTGCCTGCCCTGCCCCCTCTGCTCCCCTGCGCTGACCTCCAGGGAGCAGCTCTCCTTATCAGGGCCTGTGAACTTTGCACCCAGCTCTGGGGTGTGTTGGGGCCGTTACTTAGGTCCAGCCGGTCTGGTGACAGAGCGGCTGGGGGATGTACGGAGAGAAGGGATAGCCCTGAACAAGGGGGGCTGGCTGGCTCTGGGGGGTGTGGGACCCTTCCCCTATAGGGGGGTTGGCTCCCATCTGTGCCCAAGGTGAGAACTGGCTGGTTCCAGGGAGGCAGGGCGTGGGGTCACGGGGCCTTTCGAATTAACCCTTTTTTTTAAAACTATTTCTGGTTTTCAAACCCGACCTGCTGCAGCGCCCTGCCCGGCTCTCGTGGGAACAAAGTTCCCAAGGGAAACTCCCGCCAGGTAAATTTGGGTGTCAGCCGGCAGGACTCAGCCTGTCTCGATCTGCCAGGCCCGGGGGAGACAAACTGGTTTCTCTTACGGATGTCGGACTCCTCCCTGGGAGCCTTGTCCCAGAGCCAAGGATGGAACCCAGGAGTCCTGGCTCCCAGCCCCCCCTGTAGTTAACTCCTGCCTAGCAGGGGAAGAGTCACCCCACTCCCTGGGGCGGAGTGATCAACCTGCTCCTAGGCAGGGAAACTGAGGCACAGAGTGGTGAAAGAACCTGCCCAATCTGAGTCCTGGCTCCCACCCCCCCTGCTCTAACCACCAGCCCCCACTCCCCTCCCAGAGCCTCAGAGATGGATGGGTCTGAGTTCTTGGCCCAGGGGTGGTTACATAAGGGCAGAAAGTCCCAGCCCAGACCTCGTGCAGGGCTCCGGCTCTCGGTTTAACTGCTCAACTTCCCCTGCTTGTGACCTGCACCCGGCCTGCCTCAGAGGGGGGGCTGGGAGCCAGGATTCCTGGGTTCTCTCCCCGGCTCTGGGAGGGGAGTGGGGGCTGGTGGTTAGAGCAGGGGGGCTGGGAGCCAGGACTCCTGGGTTCTCTCCCTGGCTCTGGGAGGGGAGTGGGGGCTGGTGGTTAGAGTGGGGGGGCTGGAAGCCAGGACTCCTGGGTTCTCTCCCTGGCTCTGGGAGGGGAGTGGGATCTAGTGGTTAGGGGGCGGTGGAAGTGCTGTCAGAACAGATCAATCAATATTGAAGTGCTTTGAGATCCTCACACAGACCGGCTGGAGCATCCTCCCCCCCGAAGCTGAAATACAAACATCCCCGGGGTCTGTGTCCCGTTCTCCCTCCTCCCCCCCCCCCCCCCGTGGGACCAGGATCGTCCCAGCCCCCACATCAGCAGTTTGCCCCGGCCATGGAAAATTCTGACCCCCTTTGCTATTCACAGCACCGGGCCGGGCAGTGCCAGCCCCTGGCGCGGTTCAAGTGGGGACAATCTAGCGCTGGAGATAAAGCGGAAGGTGCCAATGCCGGGGTGAACCAGGGTCAAGGTGATTTTTCCCTGCTACAGAGCCTGTCCAATTCACACAGCATGGAGATGCGGCCACCTCTGGGGTGAGGCACTGGGGCTGGTTATACAGGGATGCTCACTCAGTGCTGAGATGTGGCCACCTCTGGGGTGGGGCCCGGGGGCTGCTTATATAGGGACCTCTCGTGCAGCCCTGAGATGCGGCCACCTCTGGGGAGAAACATGGCATCTCCTTCACTTCCTGTTCCTGTTGGGACAGGAAGTGAAGGAGAATTTCTGTGTCCTGTTTGACAGCAGGGGGAATCATTTTGGCATGTGGTGGTTGCTAATTTGGAGCTGCTGGGTAAGTGACTTCTTTATTAACAGCCCCCACGCCCCGCCCCAGAGGTGGCTGCATCTCCGCACCGGGCGAGGGGTTCCTGTATAACCAGCCCCCCGCACCCTCCCAGAGGTGTCTGCATCTCAGCGCCTTGGAAGGGTCCCTGCATAACAAACCCCATGCCCCGCCCCAGAGGTGGCTGCATCCCAAGCTTGGCAAGGGGCCGAGAGCCCCGGGCGGGGGGGGTCCGTGAGGAAGTGGGGACAGCTGGCAGGCAGGGAGGGACTGGCTGGCTCGGGGGGCAGGGGCTGATCATTTCCTTTTGTCCTGTTGGAGCAAACAGACCCCTCTTCTCACCTGCCCAGCGGAAAATTCCCCTCCCTGCTCCGGGCTTGGCCCACTCTTGGGACTCGCCCAGGCTGGGCGTCTCTTCCCCGGTCCCCCCGCCCCAGAGATCCAGGGAGGTGCCACCTCTGGGGCAGGAATGGCGCATTGAGGACGGGGCCGCCTGCCTGCTGCAGGGCGGCCCCACACCCATGGGGACAGTTCGGCTTTTTATCAGTAGAGCTGTTCCGAGTGCCGGAGGGTCGCTTTTGGGCTGCGTTCGGCTTCGTCCCAGGGGCAGGACTTGGGGAAATGACAAGGGCAGGACCTCTGTGAGAGACACTGTCTGTAATATCCAGTGGCAGGGAGTCCCTGGGGTTAATACTTATAATGGGGGCTGTTTATGCAGGGGTCCCTCGCCCGGTGCTGAGATGCGGCCACCTCTGGAGTGGGACTATTGATACAGGGTCCCCTCGCCCGGCGTTGAGATGCGGCCAGCTCTGGGGTGGGACTATTGATACAGGGACCCCTCGCCCGGCGCTGAGATGCGGCCAGCTCTGGAGTGGGACTATTGATACAGGGACCCCTCGCCCGGCGTTGAGATGCAGCCACCTCTGGGGTGGGGTGTGGGGGCTGGTTATACGGGGAGATTTAGGGAACCAGAAAGGAGTCACTTGAGCTGAGGCATCGGGGCCAGGGCAGAGCCCCCCACCCGGCCCCCTGCAGCCCAGCACCCCCAGCGCCTCCTCTCCCTTGCTGTTGCAGATCTCTGGCTATGGTTCTCCCGGAGAATGAGCCCTTGGTGGGGCTGAGCCAGACCTCGCAATGCCCTGTCCTGGCCCCCGTTGGGCAGGACAGGCGGAGGGGGCCGTTTCCAGCCCAGGGCCCCGAGCCGGCCCGGGCCCAGCCGGTGGGTGGTGCCGATTGTCTCTCCTCCGGCCCCGGGGGAGCCATGAGCGACAGCCCTGAGGAGGACGAGGCCAGCAGCACGGAGAGTGCCCAGAACGGGGTGAGTGGCGCGGGGCCTGTCCCCTCTAGGCCCCAGGGCAGGGGACCCGCTGGCTCAGGGGTCAGGGAATTGGGCATGGGGCCTGTCCCCTCGAGGGGGCTCCGGCTCCCATCTGGCCCCATGGCAGGCTCAGGGGAGCAGGGAATGGGGCCCTGGGTCTGTCCCCTCAAGGGGGCGCCGGTTCCCATCCGGCCCCAGGGCAGGCTCAGGGGGGCAGGGAATGGGACATGGGGCCTGTCCCCTCAAGGGGGCACTGGTTCCCATCTGGCCCCAGGGCAGGGACTGGCTGGCTCGGGGGGGCAGGGAATGGGGCCCTGGGTCTGTCCCCTCGAGGGGGCGCCGGTTCCCATCCGGCCCCAGGGCAGGGACTGGCTGGCTTGGGGGGCAGGGAATAGGGTCCCCTTGTCGACAGGGCTGGTTCACTCCCACTCTCCCCTGCCCAGGACGAGAGCCCCCAGGCGGGCGCGGAGGGGTCCCGGCTGCGGGGGGAGCAGGACGAGGCGCTGGGCCGGGTAGCGGAGCTGGAGAGTTGTATCAAGGAGCTTCAGCACCAGCAGAAGGAGATGAACATCGAGGTGCGCCCGTCCCCGGGCTCCCCTCCCTGAGTCACGGGGATGTCTGGGGGGTGGGGTGGGGGGCGTTCCCCGCTGCCGGCACCTGGCAAACCTGTCTCGCCGGGGCACCGCGCCCAGCCAGGTGGGGAGGGGCTGGGTGGGTCGCTGCTACAATCGCAGCAGGAGAGCTGGGTTTGGAGAGAGGGAAAACACTGAGCTGTGCAGACAGGACGCCTGGGTCCTCTCCGGCTCTGGGAGGGGAGTGGGGTCTCGCGGGTTAGAGTGGGAGGGGCTGGGAGCCAGGACGCCTGGGTTCCATTCCTGGCCGTGGGAGAGGAGTGGGGTCTGGTGGGCTATCGTGGGCGGGAGCTGCCCGCTGTCGGCTCTGTGCTGTGGGCCCCGATCCCTGTGGCGCCGGGTCTAACCCCCGCCGCTCCCAGCAGATGAAGCTGGAGGGGGCGCTGCTGGAGGGGGAGCTGGCGGCCGAGTGGCGGGAGGTTCAGCGCGAGGAGCAGCTGGTCCTGCAGCTGCAGAGGAGGTTCGCGGAGACGGTGCACCGGTGCCACGTCGAGAGAGAGAAGGTCAGGCCCCTGCCCAGTCTCCGTGCCTCCCAGCGGCCTTTGCGGGGCTCCTCTTTTCCCAGAATCCTTTGTGCTTCCTCCCCATTGCCCGCTTCTTCCCAGAATCCTTTGTGTTCCCTCCCTCCTTGGCCCATTTTCCCCAGAATCCTTTGCCACTCTCCCCGTTGCCCACTCAATCCCAGAATCCTTTGCTCCTGTCCAGGTGTGCCCACGTTTCCCAGCACCCTTTGCTGTGGGATGGCCCTGTCCTCAGCATTCTTTGCTTCCTCTCCCGCCAAGCTGGCCCCATTCCCCAGCCTGTCAGGGACCGTGTCTGGCCAGGGGACGGGGGGAGTATGTCCATGGAACCCAGGTGTCCTGGCTCCTGACCCCGCCCTTCTCCGGCAGGAGAAGGCTCGGCTGGGGAAGGAGCGGCTCAAGGTGGAGGAGCTCCAGAGGCAACACGCCGAGTCCCAGACCCACCTGGAGACCCAGCCCGAGAGCATGCGGGAGCGAATGCAAAGCCAGCTGCAGCAGGTAGGGGCACGGGACGGCCCAGCAGGTCCCACCCTGTGTCGAGCTGGGCAGGCTGCTACGGCCCAGAGGAAGAGACCCCGGGGTGGCCCACATACGCTGATATGGCCCAGAGGGGACATGCACAGAGGGGGGCCGGGTTCCATTAGCGCTCTTTGAGGGGTCAGCAAACCTGGCCGTGGGGGATCCAGGGGACATGGTGCACTTAGATTTCCAGAAAGCCTTTGACAAGGTCTCTCCCCAAAGGGTCTTAAGCAAAGTGAGCTGTCATGGGATAAGAGGGAAGGTTCTCTCATGGGTCGGTAACTAGTTAAAAGATAGGGAACAAAGGGTAGGAATTAAATGGTCAGTTTTCAGAATGGAGAGAGGTAAATAGTGGTGTCCCCCACGGGTCTGTACTGGGCCCAGTCCTATTCAACATATTCATAAATGATCTGGAAAAAGGGGTAAACAGTGCGGTGGCAAAATTTGCCGATGATACAAAACTACTCAAGAGAGTTAAGTCCCAGGCAGACTGCGAAGAGCTACAAAAGGATCTCACAAAAATGGGTGACTGGGGAACAAAATGGCAGATGAAATTCAATGTTGATAAATGCAAAGTAATGCACATTGGAAACCATAATCCCAACTCTACATATACAATGATGAGATCTAAATTAGCTGTTACCACTCAAGAA